ATGTTCCAAATGTTTAATCTGTTGAAGACGTATGTTGCAAGTGTTTCATTTGGATGTTGCAAAAGTAGATCTAGATGTTTCATATATAGTCAAAAAAAGATGTTGCATATATATGCAAGTGTTTTATGTGTTTTCATACGTGTGTTGCAAGTGTTTCATCTAGATGTTTGTAATGGCTACACACGTGTTTTCAAGTTTTTTCTAGTGTTTTTCAAGTGTTTCAGACGTATGTTGCAAGTGTTTCAGCTGTTTTGGACATATATTGCAAAATGTTTCATCTGGATATTACAAAAGTAGATCGGGTGTTGCACATGTAATGCAACCCACCTGCCGCAGCTATTGGGGTGTCGTCGAGTGGGCGTAGACGGTCCCTACGTGTGGTCGAACGGTACGGGCGTCGCGCGCCCCCACGTGAGTGCAAGAAATGAGGTGCAGACGTGGGCACCCAGATGTTCAAGGGCTAGCAATCCCCAATAGGATAAGGCCATCGGTAATTCAACTCCAGATGTGTGGATCCAGTCCATCGGTTGTTTTTTTTTCTTTTTTTTATTCAACTCTTCACGGTAGTAGAGTCCATCTAGCCTTTGGTATGTTTTTTCTTTTTTTAATCAACTCTAGGCCATTGAGACAGCGAGGTGATGGCCAATAGTAAATTTGGTTAGGGACCTATAGGTTATGCTATGGTATTATCTTTGTACAAATTTAAATGCTATAAGATCAAGTATTATGAGCTGAAGGGAGTATCTTTTTTTGCCTTTTCTACTGAATCCACATATATTCCGAAGCTCATATGGCCATTAGAATGAATTTGGTCAAATGTCATTCATAAATTAAATTATTGACTTCATATATCATTAGGAATATCTCATTAACATCTTTTCTCCATTGACCTCCAAATATGTTACCTAAACTATAACCTCAAACTGTCATCTAAACATTAACCTCAAATTCCTGCGCACGGGCAATCCACGCAACCAGAGCAAATTAATGGTAGTCCAAAATAGACTTGAATAAAATTTTGTATGTCCCAAACTCAGTGAATACGAGATTGCTATATTTATAGTATGTAAGGATCTATGAATGTTTTTTGAAATCTGGTACTCCGGGTTTGTGTTAAATAAGAAGGGTTACAAAATTTGACATCTTACAAGCGCGAGAGGCTCTTACGCTTGTCTCCTTGGTTCTCTAGGCCATGCCAACCTACCACCTTACGATTTTTCTACTGGCAGCGTGGGCAAGGAGGAAAATTGACAAAATAAGGAGATCATTCCTATGGAAAGGGGAGGACAACGCAAATGGCGGTCACTGCTTGGTAAATTGGCCTACGGTCACGTGGCCGAAGGACCTTGGGGGGTCTTGGAGTGCCTGATCTCGAGAGGTTTGGCTGCGCCCTCCTTCTCCGATGGTTATGGCAGGAATGGACGAAAGACTCCAAACCTGGTTAGGAATGGACATCCCTTGCAATGACATTGACCGCCTTTTTTTCAATGCATCGACAACAATCACCTTGGGCGATGGCGCTAAGGCACACTTCTGGCACAACAACTGGCTCGAAGGGGAGGCCCCAGGTATGTGGCACCTAATCTCTTCAGAATTGCCACTAGAAAGAACAAAACGGTAGATCAAGAGCTCAGAAACAACAATTGGATTCGCTCACTAAGAGGTCGCATCACCTTAGCCACCCATGTCGAAGAGTTTGTCTCCCTATGGATCAGGATACACGATATGCATCTGATTCAAGGTGTCCCAGACTCGATCACTTGAAAATGGACTCTGGACGGCACTTTCTCCACCTGCTCAGCTTACACAGGATGCAGTTCAGTGGGTCCTTCGGTGCCTTCCGGAGCGACCACATTTGGAAAGCACTTGCTGAAAACAAGTGCAAGGTATTTACCTGGATACTTATGCACGGGAAAGTCCTAACAGCGGACAACTTGCAGAGAAGAGGGTGGCCACATCAAGACCACTGCACACTCTGCAATGGCCCCCTGAAACCGACCTACACCTGTATTTGCAATGCCCCTTTGCCATGGCGGTTTGGAATCAGATCTTAGCATGGGAGCACTTTGAGGACATCATGAGCCAACTACAGCATGCCCCCTCCTAGATCTTTTCTTGGTGGAAGGACACAACAGGAAAAGTTCCTAGTGTGGAGCGGAGAAGATTCAATGGCTTGGTGATTTACACCTTCTGGGATTTATGAAAAGAGAGGAATAGGAGAATTTTTAACAATGCCACAGAGACAGCGCTGCAGGTGGCCATGATAATTAAGGAAGATATAGACCTTAGAAAAAGAGCTTTTTCATAGGGGCTGTTCTTCTATCCCGATTGGGGGCTTCCAATTGCTCTGCTGTGTGACAGTAGCTTTCCCCTCCCTTGTACATAAACATCTCTTTTCGCTACTTTAATTGAAAGACAGAGCTCCTGCCATTTCTTTTAAAAAAAAAACAAGCGCGAGAGGCGCTGCCTCCCGGAATAGACTACTGCAGGAGGTTTAGGAGAAAACTATGCTAATTACTCACTAAGGTTTGAGCTACCAAAAGAGAAAAGGGAACTAAGTACTTTCCACCCAAGTGGAGCAATCTTCATTGTTTTCTATGGCTATGGACTGTGCAGACTTCCTGAGTGTTTCAAATGTAGCACAGCGTTCAGATTGACAGCATGTGTGCCTGCTTCGTACCAACAGGTGTTCCTGCGGCGAGGAATCGGCCCTCCATGTCCTCAACATCTTTCCACCTTGATGTGCGCAGATTGTGGCACTTGCTTCAGATAGCAGCATTTGGCCAGCAAACTGAATGAAATTCGCTGTAGAGAAAGAGAACGCCTCAAGCCGACAGTCCAAAAAAGAGAGTTCTACAACCGCAGGTTTACAAAATCATGGATGTTAAGATGATTATCACGGGACTTATTATAAACTAGGGACGTAATTTTGAGTAAATTTTTGGAGGTGCGCGTGCGTTGCTCGTACCCTACTCCACCTAATATTCCAGAGGAGGATCTTAGCATGTGCAGCAGATCGACTTACGCTCGCGCGTGGACCTATGAGAGGGTGAGTCCACGCTGTGGAGCACATGGAAAATACGTAGCTAGACAGTGATATTCTTTTTTTTAATCATCAGATGTGCTCGGCCACTTGGCATCTTTTCATATGAGGAGCATCTTTGCTCAATGCTTAAAATGGACTGAAATATATCCATGTCTACTTTTCTCAAATAAATGACCTTTCTTTTTTCCTGTTTTGCTTGGGCTGGGCCCAGCACGACTGAAACCCAGTCGTCTTAAAAATTCAGAAGGTGGCACATCATACACCTAACCCCCTGACATCCAAATCATGCTTTGACTAGTTGGGCTACATGAGTCATGCATGAGTGTAACCAACAAGTTGAACATCTAGGGCCAGGGGAGTGTATATTTCTTTTGATATATATCATATAGAGTGCTTCGAGCTCGACCAAAAGAGATGCAAAACTGTTGAAGCTAGGTTAGGTGACATATTACTAATTTTGATATCCCACATATGTACTCTTTGTGTTTCTTCATGCCTTAGTGACTTCCTTTCATCCTAAAAGTGCACTCATTTGCAGAGCCAAAGAATACTAAGTGTGCATTTCTTTGAGAACAATCATAGAGGAAAGATGTATGCTATCTCCTAGATATTTCAAGAAAAAAGTTAAATTATTGTGCTCCAAAGAGGGCTCTCAACACTTCCCAAATTACAACAAAAGCTAGTAAAAAGATGCTAAAAAGATGCAACATCTTAAAAAAAAGAAAATAAATACTAGTACATCAAACGAGAAGCACATGAAAGCACTAATCAATTGCTTTTTTATATATGAAAAAGAAATTCATTGCTTTTTGCAACAGCAACGGGTAGCCCTTCCCCTACTCCACACTTCAGCACAGCAGCATTATATAGTTATAGATGGCCAACGGGCCGGGCCGGTCCAGCACGGCACGGGCCCGTGCCAGGCACGGCCCGAAGGGAGTCGGGCGGCAGAGCACGGCGTGCCATGCCTGGCCAACGGTCCAGGCACGGCTTGCTGGGCCATTTTTCGGTTCGGGCCGGCCCGAGAAGCACGGCCCATCCAGCGTGCCGGGCCAGCCCAAGGCCCACAGAGGGAAGGGGAGAGCTGGAGGCAGGGCAACCACGGGAGACAGCGGCCGCCGCCGGCGCGCTTGGCCCCGAGGCAGTTCCGGCCGCAGGTGCGCTTGCCCTAGAGGTGGGGCTTCGCGGGGAGGCATGGAGGAGGGCTAGGAGGCAGTTGTTGGCGTGCTTGAATCCGGCCGTCGCTGCTCGAATCTGGCCGGGGACGCCGCGTGGGAGGAAGACGGCCGCACACGAGGGAGACGCCGCTGCGCGCGGGGAAGAGGCGAGGCCACGAAGGGAAGCGCGAGCTGCGAGCCAGCGACTGTGCGTCTACGAGGTGAGAAGGGGAGGAGCCGAGGAGAGTGGGGCGACCCGCGACCGAGAGGGCTGCGCGCCTGCGGCTCTACGCTGGATGGGCGAGACAGAGAGTGAGACGGGAGGGGGAGTTAGGGTTAGCGGCCACCGTTAGCCTGGTGGTGGGATACTAGGATGTTAGCAGGCTAGGCCGCCACCGAGCCGACCCTTATGGACCGGGCCGTGTCGTGCCGCCCGCTGTGCTTGAGCAGCGGCCCAAGCATGGCCCTGTGTATCAGGCCGTGCCGTGCTTCTGTCGGGCTAAAATGCCGTGCTTCGGGCCGGATAGTTGTGTCATGGGCTGCATAGACATTTATATATATATATAGTTAGGCCCATGCCGTTGAGGTCGCCTGTAGACCAACCGACTCCGAGTGGGAGGCGACGACCTCCGCTCCCCTCTTGAGTCCCTCCCCGCCAGCCACCGCGCCACGCGAATCTTTTTTCCCTCTTGGCCGCGCTCCTAAATCCGCGCCAAATCGTCAAACCAAAACCAGGCCGCTCCCGCCTCGTCAGTCCTCGCTCGCGGACCGAGCTCCGGATCCCTCCCGCGGCGGCAATGGCAGCCGCCGCCTGCGACGCCGCCGCCGTCGAGCAGCTCGCTGGCCTCCTGGACCAAGGTGAGAGTTTTCGCTCCGGATCACCGGTAAAGTTTGGATCTTTTTACGATTTCGGAGCGGCGGCCCCGCTCGGACTTTGGGTTTAGCTTTCGGAGTCTTCGGTTCTGGGTTTTGTGTGGGTTCGTCTGGTGCTAATAATGTCACTCATAACGTGCTTTCTCTGGCTTGGATTCTTGCAGTGGATGCGCCGCTGAAGAAGACATTTGAGGTATGGATCTATGCGCCTTTTCTTTTTAACCTTCATATTGAGCCTTCGTGATATCTGAAAAATCTTGATTCTTCTGTCAAGCATGGGCATTTTGTGCTGTATTTAGTCTGCATTTCGATTTGGATCAGACGGAACCTTTTCTCAGATCAGTTAAACAGTTTGAATGATTAGTCTGACATAGATGATCAAGTGGCTAAGTGAGACTGGGTGTTTGTTAGATTGTTGGTACTAGACTACTTGTACTGATTTGGATGAAATCATTCCAGTTCATGCCTGAGCTTTTGTTTTCACTCATGCGCAGTCAGTTGATACAGTTCAACCAGCATTAACACGGATCTAAGGATAAATTCACAGTTGTCAAAGTTGACGGTACTTATTGATTGGCTGCAAAATGTTATTTTGTTCTTTGATCTAAGCCACACGTTTGGGATCCCTGAGGTAATTTTGAGTAGTTTGACAGCGGGGGCTGAGAGCTTTCCACAATGGATGTGTCGAGGAATATTCTGATCTCAGGTCCACTATTTCAACTAGTGGACAGCGACATCTTTGGTCCCCTCGAGCCTCCTGATATGTTGGTAGTAATATATACCTCAGTGCTTTTCCTCGTGTTTTGTTGCTTGTCAATGGAACTGTCTTTTGGTTGTTGCGGATTATTATAGAATGATTTCTCCTTTTGCTCTTTACTTTGTTAATATAATGGCACTTGACACTTGTCATATCAGTGTGCAGACACATGCCGGTAGGCATCCTATGCATCCGGCACTTCTGGATTGACTTCCTTTTGTTTTTATTCTGTCATTTTACCAGTTAATTTTAGTTTGCAAGAGAACATTTCCGTCAATAAAATTCTCTCTAAAGGCTAGGCTTAAGTGCGTACTGTGTGCTGAGTAGGAGATGCCAAATAATTCCCAGCAGAACCTCTTGGCTGGTGGAGTGAGAATCAAAAGAAAGTGCCACTTGCAACAGAATTATTGCCTCAATAACATGAGGCAAGCAAAGTATAAGTGCAATTAACTATAGCTTTCCTTAAAAATGGAAGTACAAGTTTCTCGCAGGATGCTTGGTTTGAGGGATTACCACATTCTAGGTTGATTGGTCTGTTACAGGATCATCCCATGATTTTAGCAGGACGGTCCCATTCTGTATTCTTTTACCGACTTGTGATTGTTAGGGATGAGGTGGTGATAGGCCCATTCATCCCAACCCCTGAGCTGAAAAGGTTAGTTAGGATCAAACAGCCTATTTTATTGAGTTGCATTGCATGCACCGGCCGGTTGATACTATCCAGTTTCTGAAACTACACAAAAAACTATAACCAGCTCGAGGAGTCTTCATCTTAGGGATAATTACCATATTGCATTTAGTTGCTTAAAAGTTTGCAAATCCCTTCTCTTATCTTCTTGAACGCTGACTCACTGAGTGTGTGTAAGCTTTATAGATACATGCCATAAACATACTATGTGCAGTATACTTTGCACTCTTAGCATGGAAAAGAATACCAGTTTCTTCATTGATAATAAAACTGAACTTTTAAGGGACGAGATTCTGCAATGGAGAATTTGATAAAGTGGAACAGATGATAAACTTATGCCTTAGCACTTGAGGCAGCTATATTTGACAAAATTCAAGTAATAAGGTCGCACTAGTATCTGATTCTTCATGTCTACCCCTGTGGCCCTACTTGTGAACTGTTTCTATTGTACTATTTGCCATAATGCCATGCCAGTGGCCTGGTGGTGGGGATCTTTGAAAACCTCCCGCCCACCTTGTTTTAGACCAACTTGAAAAAAATGTGTTGAGAAGCTCTTGCAGTACATATCATTTAAACAACCTAGTTTGAAAGCTGTGGTACCAGTATCAGTACCCTTGGCCTTCAGAAAGAACCATGAGTATATGCAGTTGTTTTGAATTTTTTCATAGATGTAAAAAGTTTTTCTTATTATCCTAGGGAGATTGTCTTTGAGCTCTCATGTTTTCTTTTTATTTTTCAGAATGTGCACCAGGGCTACCCAACAGAGACATTAGTGCGTTTCCTTAAAGCTAGAGAGTGGCATGTGAATAAGGCTCACAGGATGGTAATTGTTAACACTGCAATTTTCCATTTCAATTTTCATATTGATGAACCCTAAAGTAAATGTTTCATTATCTGAGGAAAATTTCTTTTGCTAGCTTGAAGATTCTTTGAATTGGAGGATACAAAATGAAATCGATAGTATACTGGAGGTAAGTAGTCTCAGTCCTAGAACAAGCTTGGCTATTGACTATAGTGTTAGGACGTTCTGCACATATTTACACTTCCTTATTGTGATCATCTGTTTGTGCTGGACTATCGCAGAAACCTATTATCCCAGTAGATTTGTATAGATCAATTCGTGATACACAGCTTGTTGGGTTATCAGGATACTCCAAAGAGGTACAGCTGTTTTATGCAAGTTATAATAATTTTCTTTGCATGCTTTGCTGTATTCATCTTAATTTAGCATTGGTTTTTGAACAGTCCTGGGTTTGAATTTTGTACTTAGACATTTTCATCTTTTGTGCTTTGCCAATGAGTTCTATGCTGTCTGTGCCATAAAAGTCTTCACATCCAGTCTGTAACTAAGTTATTATTATTGGATAAACTATGCAAAGTTGTCTAATAGTCCACTTTCCTTCTCCTATTGTAGGGCATCCCTGTATTTGCAGTTGGTGTTGGACTGAGCACATATGACAAAGCTTCGGTAACTGTCTCAGACTATTTAAGAGTTTTAGTAGTTTCCATTGTTACTAACCTTTGGGATTTTGAGAATATGATGAATTAGGACACATGATTGTAATATGTGTGTATAGACATCCTCATGGGCCATGGGCCTTGATATACTTAACATTTGTCAGAATGCATCCATGTCAATCAAATTAAATATAAGTAAATACTGTTGCACTAGTAAGTTGCAATATAATTGGAGTCATATATGAATTTAAATAGATTTTGACCCTTTTATCATATTGAATCCATATGTATTTGAGATCAAGTCATACTCGTCCGTCCATGAATTTATGCCTTATACTTCATGCATGTATTTCCAGGTTAACTACTATGTGCAATCTCACATTCAGATCAATGAGTACCGTGATCGTTTTATTTTGGTGAGTGTTTAACTAAAGCTCCATGGACAATTAGATAACTTCTATAAATTTTCTTAACACATATATTTGCTCACTTTTGTTTTATCTAGCCTATGGCGACAAAGAAGTATGGGAGACCTATTACCACCTGTATAAAGGTTCTCGATATGACTGGTCTGAAATTGTCAGCACTAAACCAAATGAAGGTACAGCCTGCAATATCATTGTATTCTACCCTCTTCTGTTCTCCAAACTACAAGTGTAGATTGATTTTCATAACGTCCATAGGGAGACAACAATGGGTATATGCCTACTTTAAGTAACTCAATATGCTGTATAAATGAGGCCACACACAAATTAGAAGACTATAAATAATACCCATCAAAATAAGTAAAACGTGCACAGTGCAAATGCTATCCATTTTTTTTATCCTACTGCTGACTAATTATTGATGTGCTACAGATTGTGACTGCAATATCTACTGTTGATGATTTGAATTACCCTGAAAAGACTGAGACCTATTATATAGTAAATGCTCCATACATATTTTCCGCATGTTGGAAGGTGCTTTTCTTGAAATTATTACAACTCTTTTACTTTTTCTGTAAAGGTTCTCTAACATTTCATTTGATTTTAGGTCGTGAAGCCTCTGTTGCAAGAGAGGACAAGAAAGAAGGTTCTTGTTTTGCGTGGTTGTGGGAGAGATGAGCTTCTAAAGGTAATTAAGACTGATTACCGTTTACATGGCCAAATAGTATGTCTGCAAAGTCAAATAAGAGAATCTGAGCTGCACTGAACTTGATTTTACTTCTAAGCATCTTCTGGCTTTCTGCTTTGACGATCACAATGCAATGACATGGGCAATTCTGGAACATGCAGATCATGGACTACTCTTCCCTTCCCCATTTCTGTAGACAGGAAGGCTCGGCCTCATCCAAACATTCATCAAGCGATGCCGACAATTGCTTCTCTCTCGATCACCCGTTCCACCAAGAGCTTTACAACTTCATCCAGGAGCAGGCACTGAATCAGGAGCTCATTAAGCAGGGCTCCTTGCATGTGAATATCCCTGAGCAGGACCCTGAGGATGCAAAAATCGTGGAGGTCATTGAGGCTGAGTTCCACAAGCTTGGTGTGCAGAACGGGTCCGCCAATGGCATCGACCAAGCATAGCACTTGTGACTTGTCTAATAAGGCCAGCCTAATTCAACCAAGATGTTGCTTGCCACTTCTGATCCACCTGATCCTATATTTTTTTTGCGGGGTGGACCACCCCCATTGCTATTTCCTGGGGGTGATTGATATAGGTGATATACATAGCAAAATCTTTTGCAGATCCATGCATGATGCAGGACTGAAACAAGAGAACTGATACTATGGTACTAGATAGACGTTATCACCTGTTGTAAACTTGCACATTTGCAATGTGTTCTCATATCTCACTTGTATGATGAACTGAGATGAAATGAATAAATCATCCTAGTACCTGCACTTTGAGTCATCTTCAGAAATGTGTTGTGCTCAGTCAGAGGGTAACGATGCGTTTTGCCGTTGTCCTGAGAGTTCAGTTTTTGTGCTGATTCTGACTAGTCCTAATTAACATAATCGAGAGGTGTATTTGGCCAAGACAAGTTTTTTTAGGAAAGAAAGAATGTTTTTAAGACGCAACAGACAATGCCTATCCATTGGAGGGATTAGAGGAAGGTTCTCTCCACCCAAAGCCCCTTCGAAAGATTGTGGGTCACCAAACAGGGTGAAAGAACCGAATCATGCATATCAACAACGTTACAACAAAGTAGGCATGCTCTTGGTTGGTAGTAGTTACCTGAGCTCACACCTCTCATTTCCTACTACTTCATAAAAAGAAGAGGGAGGTCACATGCTTTGGCTTCCTCTCTGAAACAACTTTCTCGCTCCAGAATTGTTAACAATGGAGATCAGCGATGAGCAGAGGATGGAAGTGGAGCGCCAACATCTTCCTCCTTCCTGGCAAGGAAATGGAGACGCCGATGTCGAAGTCGAGGAGGAGGAGGATCATCTGTGGCCAACAAAAGATGGCCCTCTTCCAATATTCCTCAAGGTATTATGCTTTTCTATCTACTACTATCTCATTCCTGTTTTAGGCTGTAAAAGAAACTCTCTAATATGTGCAATGACTTACTGAACCCCAAAACCCCGGGCAAAACGCAGTTCGAGAATGTGGAGTACAGGGTGAAGATGACTTTGAACAACCCCCTCACAGCTGCGAGAGAGGCGTTTGCATCCCAGTTGAGGGTAGATCAGGGAAGCAGCTGCAAGCACATCCTCAAGGGCATCGCAGGGACTGTGGACCCTGGTGAGATCCTGGCGCTGATGGGCCCATCTGGCAGCGGCAAGACCACCTTGCTCAAGATCCTGGGAGGCAGGCTCGATGGCGGCATCAAGGGCCAGATAACCTACAACGACACTCCCTACAGCCCCTGCCTCAAAAGGAGGTAAATTAAAACTGTAACAAGCAAGAATTTTCACTCAACTTAATAACGGGTTAGTAAAGAAACGAACTAGATTCAGTGACATTTCTTTGTGTTATTAATCTATGCGGCGGCTGCAGAATTGGATTTGTGACTCAGGACGACGTCCTCTTCCCACAGCTGACGGTGGAGGAGACCCTGGTGTTCGCCGCCTTCTTGAGGCTCCCTGCTTTCATGTCCAAGCAGCAGAAGCGCGACAGGGTCGACGCCATCATCACCGAGCTGAATCTAGAGAGGTGGAATTTGAATTTCCATGGGGAGTTTAGTTTTCACATGTATGCATGGCGATCGAATGAGTTGCGATGCGATTCTCATTTGATTGCATGGTCAGGTGCCGGCACACCAAGATCGGGGGAGCGTTCGTGAGGGGGGTGTCAGGAGGCGAGAGGAAGAGGACCAGCATCGGGAACGAGATCCTCGTCGACCCGTCGCTCCTCCTCCTCGACGAGCCCACCTCCGGCCTGGACTCCACGTCGGCGAGCAAGCTCATCCTCGTCCTCCAGCGCCTCGCCAAGGTAGCAGCTACATAGTACGCCACATACATTTGTGCGCAGCAACGCCACCGACGACGACGACGACGATCATGTTATTAATTAATTCGATCGATCCTGGATGGTTATGTTGCAGACGCGCAGGACGATCATCACGACGATCCACCAGCCGTCGAGCCGGATGTTCTACATGTTCGACAAGCTGCTGCTCATCTCCGACGGGCACGCCATCTACCACGGCAAGGCCCGGGACTGCATGCACCACTTCTCCTCTCTGGGCTTCGTTCCGGAGATCCCCATGAACCCGGCCGAGTTCCTGCTGGACCTCGCCACCGGCAACCTTGACGACATCAGCGTCCCCGAGGCGCTGCGCGGCTCGCCGGACCCGCAGGAGTTCAGGTCCCAGGTCATCAGGCACCTGCAGCTCAAGTTCCGGGCGGGGGGAGGCGCCGGCGCTGGTGGGAGAAGCAGGGCGCCGCCCACGGAGCAGCTGCGGCTGGCGTTGCGGGCGCGTAAGGACCACCGCCGTAGCATCGGCTGGCTCCAGCAGTTCGCCGTGCTGTCCCGGCGCACGTTCCGGGAGCGCGCCTCAGACTACCTGGACAAGATGCGGCTCGCCCAGGCCGTCGGCGTGGCGCTCCTGCTGGGCCTCCTCTGGTGGAAGTCCCAGACCGGGAACGAGGCGCAGCTGCGGGACCAGGTGGGGCTCATCTTCTACATCTGCATCTTCTGGACGTCGTCGTCGCTGTTCGGCTCCGTCTACGTGTTCCCCTTCGAGAAGCTGTACCTGGTGAAGGAGCGCAAGGCGGACATGTACCAGCTGAGCGCCTACTACGCTAGCAGCACGCTGTGCGACGCCGTGCCGCACGTCGTGTACCTGGTGCTCTTCATGGCCATCCTCTACTTCATGGCGGGCCTCCGCCGCACCGTGCCGTGCTTCTTCCTCACGCTCCTCGCCACGCTGCTCATCGTGTTCACCAGCCAGGGCACCGGGGAGCTGCTGGGCGCCGCCATCCTCAGCGTCAAGAGGGCTGGGGTCATGGCGTCGCTCGTGCTCATGCTCTTCCTCCTTACCGGCGGCTACTACGTCCAGCACATCCCCAAGTTCATCCGCTGGCTCAAGTACGTCTCCTTCATGCACTACGGCTTCAACCTGCTGCTCAAAGCGCAGTACCACGGCCACCTCACGTACAACTGCGCCAGCCGGGGCGGCTGCCAGCGCCTGCAGTCGTCGCCGTCGTTCGGCACCGTGGACCTCGACGGCGGCATGCGCGAGGTCTGGATCCTGCTCGCCATGGCGCTCGCCTACCGATTCCTCGCCTACTTCTGCCTCCTCAAGCGGATTACCCTCACGCCCTTGTGATCACCCACCTACCTCTGCACCGACCGGTTTCATTCTTAATTAATTTGGGATGCAATTTCGCGTGCCGGTGTGAATGCTAAAGATTGTTAGTTATTGACGGAAAATGGCTGCACGGTGATGTGTATCAGCGATGCTTTGCATGCTAAGGATTGTTAGTTCTTAATTATTTGATCTATATGAGATAAAGGATAAGGATTCTTGGGACATATGTCTTGTTAAGGCCTGCATAGTCAACCTGCATTCTCCATTGTTCTTTTTTAGTACCTAACTAGTCTGGACGCAAAACCTCCCTGATGAACTGCACAGCTAGGAGCTGGGCTACCTCTTTCTCTATTTGGGTGCGGAGCACCTTGGAGCCCCCGAGTCCCGGTTTCGTTGAATCTCGTATTGGAGTTCACGCTCGTCAGAGTGAAGGGCCCTTACGGCGTGCTCGACGGCTAGCTTGTCACATTGGTGGGCGTCCTAGAAGTTCTCGGCCACCGTAATGATGCCATGGCCTGCCATCTTCATCTTAGATAGGCGTAGCGTGGGATGACCATGAACTTTGAAGTCGACGACCTCAAAGGCGAGTACCTCCTTGCGATAGTCACTACCGGAATCCAAGGATTTGCCGAGTGTCACATTCTTTGCCGAGTGTATTTTATCGGACACTCGACAAATCATCTCTTTGCCGAGTGCCAAACTAAAAACACTCGGCAAAGATTCTGACACTCGGCAAACTCTCTGTTTGCCGAGTGCCGTACTAAAAACACTCGGCAAACATTTTGACACTCCGCAATTCTACTGAAAAACACTCAGCAAACTCTGGCACTCGGCAAATATGGGAAAAACACTCGGCAAATTACGACACTCGGCAAACATCGCGCCACGTGTCCCTCCATTGCCCTTTTGCCGAGTGTCCATTGAGCAACACTCGACAAATAATTTATTTATTTTTTCTCATTTGACCTTGAAACTTTTTTTGTACTCAACAAACAATATAGCATAATCCATGTTAAAATTTAACATTTTTTGATCTGTTTGCTAGTTTTAATTCATTAAATGCATTCTAGGAATTTAATTGATTTACGTCAAATTTGATCTATAAGTGCATGAAATAATATAATAAAATGGGTAGAAAAATCATATTCATTTTGTCAAGTCTATTTTTTGGCCTTACCGAAGAAATTAAATGAAATTTGAAACATCTAGGTGCCAACACTCGACCATCGACATGTAGCTTATTGGTTTTTTAATTATAAAAAATTCAAACGAAGTCTGAAAAACATAGGACTTGCCATTGTATCGTGATATGATACGTAGAGGCTATGGTAAAAAATTGAGAAGATTTCGGAAAAGTTGTAACGTACATTGCTTAGAAACCGAAGCATCTCTAAGGAAGAATTGTGGTATCGAGAGAGAATGGAACAGGTTTGAAGGCGAAGTGCCGGTTCAATCATCGTTTGACCTTGAAACTTTTTCTATACATTAGATTGAGCTCAAACTTTCTAAGCTTGCTATTTTCCCCTCCCATGAAAAGAGAAAAATAAATAAAAAATAAAAAATAGGGGGTTTGCCGAGTGTCAAACAAAAACACTCGGCAAGCAGGGGCTTTACCGAGTGTCACAAGAAAAACACTCGGCAAACAAGAGGTTTGCCGAGTGTCCCAAAAACAACACTCGGCAAACAAAAAAAAATGACCCACCCCTAAAATCTCCCACCCGCCCCTCCCCTCCCTCACGACGCACACACCCCCTCCCCTCGCTCCCAGCTCGCTCCCTCCCATCCTCTCCCGCATGTGGCCGGCCCCCTCCCCTCCCTCTCTTCCCCGGCGCCGGCCCCTCCCCTCTGGATCCGGCCCCGCCCCCTCCCTCCCTCCCTCCCGGATTTCCCCGGATCCGGAGGGATCCGACCGCCGCGCCGCCCCTTCCCTCCGGATTCGGCCCCGCCGCCTCCCTCCCTCCCTCCTCCCTTCGGATCCGGCGCCGCGGCATGGGTGGTGGTGGAGGTGGTGTGGATGGAGGTGGAGGCATGGGTGGTTGTGGTGCGGCCCTATGCGCGGCTATGCGTAACGATGGCTTTTATGCACGCGACCTCGAGTGCGCGTGGCCGGGAGACGGCCCGAGGTCGCACGGCGGCGACGGCCAGGCCTATGGCCGCCGGTGAGATTCTTTATCGTAGTCTTAGGTTTAGAGTTCGACAGATTTGGAATTTGGGCATTTTTATTAGGGTTTATAATTTCGTCCAAATCCTCTCCCTCCAAATCCGGCCGTCGGCGCCCGTTGCCGGTGCCCGTCCGTCAAGTACCGCCGCCGCCCTACGCCAAGCTTCCCATGTCTTCTTCGGGCCCGTTGCCGGTGACGGGAACCCACCACACTAGGTATGCCCGCTCCTTCTCTTCCCTTCCTGCTGTGCCAAATTGAGCGCCGGAACCCTAACTTGAGCTATTTGTATTCGGATCTGATGTAATCACAAGTGTGTACATGTATTATGCCTACTAACTTTGATATTTAGTCTAGAACTGCCATAGTTTTTAGTCTATTCATTTGCGACTCGTGTTTGTTTGTAAGACTTCCAAATCCTGATACATTTTACTATTGTTATTGTCTAACCATAGACGGCTTAGAAGAACTATGAGTGACCTCACCTGCTTATATTCGGTAATGAGCAGAAAACAGTTGGTCACCTATTTTTTAATTGATGTGTGGCATCTTGTGTTTAGTTTCTAAAATGACGGAAATTGATTTTACTCAGTACTTTTAATCTGTGGTGCGTTTATGGATTAGTAATGAGAAATATGCTACAACAGTGCTTATAGAAGTATCAAAATCCTGTGCGTTTTCAGGGAAAGAAGGCTTATCACCGGCAGGTAATGAAGATGGACTGCTCACAGTCTCATCCCGGAGCTTGGTAAGTGGGAAAAAGTGTGATTTCTATCTTATGTTTTGCTTCATAGAGGGTTATATGCAGAGAAGAGGTAGCTTTACATCTAGAATTTGCAGTGCATGTGACTGTAGGGGCTGAGATAGTAAGAGCCTCTTTTCAGTGCTTTGTAATTTTGCTTATCTGTACCCACTATTTAACTATGAATTGCTAATTTTGTCTCTCACTATAACAGAAGTATAACAAGGCCATATTGTTAGCGCAAAGGTAAATATCTCTTTCCAATGTTTTATCTCCTTTTGAATCTTACCGTACTCAGTAGACTGAATCTCAATTCACCTTTTTTACATACTGGGCCAAATTACTTGGAAGTTTTCATGATGAAACAACCAAAGCATGGTGATTGGTAATGGCCTTCTCAGTTTGCTTTGGAACTTCTCAAATACATGTTTAGCTTGCATATGCCACATTCTTATGTAAATTTGTTTATTTGCTCGAATTTACGTTTTGAAATTCCATTGATTGAGACTTTGTCAGCACATACTTATTCTTTAATCAATGGTTGTCACTTTAATTGGGCCAATGCTAGCTTACAACAGCAATAGGTGTATACCCTGTATTCGGTAGAGTATATATCATAGTGTTATAAGATTTGCTTCTTTTTTTTATGCAATGTTTTAGTGACTGATACCATTTTTGTCCTACTGCTTGTATTTCTAATTTTATGATTAGTGATTACATGCTCACTACAATTATACCCTGTATCATTAGCATTCATTATGTTGGCAAAATTAGCTACCCAGCCTGTAACTCTGTACAACATGTATATCATTTCAGTGGCCTTGTTACCATTGATTTTGGACTAGCTTGCAGAAAAGCTATTTTTCTAGGCAGCTTGTAAGATATTTCTTTTCAAGTTTGGATAAGATTAAATTTTCTCTTGAGTTGTGAAGCAGGTGCACAAATATGCTGAGAAAAAAATATTTTTTTTCTTTGGAAAATAGGTTTGCCGAGTGTAATTCTCAAAAACACTCGGTAAACAATAATGGTATGCTGAGATTTTTTTTTTGAAAAATAGGTTTGCCGAGTGTAATTCCAAAAAACACTCGGCAAACAATAATCCTTTGCCGAGTGTATTTTGGAAAAACACTCGGCAAACCACTTTTTTTTTGCTAAGCACTCGGGCACGATAAAAAACACTTGGCAAACTACTGTTTGCCGACACACAGATGCCGTGTGTTGTATGCCGAGTGTTACACTTGGCAAAGCAGTTGCCGAGTGTTTTTGGGCCTGGCACTCGGCAAAGCTACTGTATCCCATAGTGAATGTACCGCGTCGCCGAACGTGACCCTAAGGGCCACCGTGCTCAAAGGCATCACTTGTCCTCCTGGGACAATTCCATGGATCAGAGCCTGTGAGGTGCACAGCCTCCTATTTTGATCTTCAATATATCGAAGGCATACTGCTTCCCCCATCCATGAGGATCTTGGTCATCTTTACAGTCTCCACCATCGCACTAACAACCTGGGGAACCGGCTGGCCTCGACAATGTGATCAAGGTGGTCGCTCATGTCATAGGTGATCAGTCATTCGGACCATCGTGGATGAAGGGGTGTAGCGAACACCGCGGCGTAGACGTCTTTGCGTGTCAACTTCATACTTTATCAATCTTGGTAAGCTTCAGGTCCACCGAAGATGATCATGACGTGCCTAGCATCCTGCTCATCTTCCCTGCATCGCTTGTCCTTGTTCAGGGGGTCCCTTTTTGTCGCCTTCTCTTCCTCGGCGAGATTCCTTTTATAGGTGATGTAATCTTTGGCGAGGTGGATCACCCAAAAACCATGATTTTGGCATGGACCATTCATGATCTCGTCAAACCTATCCTTGTTGCCTCACTTCTACTTGTGGCTAATGTTACGGCTCTTGCGCTTGCGGTCCTTTCTCCTTAGCTGAGAGGGCTCAACCGCGTTAAGGGGAATCTCAATGACTTTGCGAAGCCGTAAGGCATGAGTCACCGCTACATTCCTGAGCCTGATTGGGAATTCAAGTTGGGGGTTGTCGGGTAGCGGTGGCACATCTGTGTCACGGGTCCAGCGTGGATCTTTCTAGATCTCGAAAGCTATGTCGAGGAGGTACTC